TAAACCTATCTCTGATTTCAAAGACATTTTGATATATATCAAATTTCTTCCGAAATAATTTAAAAGACTAACCTTAATGTAAACTTAAATAAATTAGATCGTTCACTATTGCTTTACCAATTCTGAAAATATCTGATGCACTACAAGCGTATGGTTTTATAAGCAAATGTGCTAGGAAGTTGATCTTGTTGAATTTCAAAATAACTCAAGAAGTTCACATAATTATAAATGTATTGATACATGATTTGTTCTGGAAGGTAAATTTGTATTAAAATCAAGTATATTAATTTATAGCAGTATTTAGAAATATTTTCTTTGTTAAGAAAAAGTTAGAATACTTTGTTATTTGCAAACAAAATCAATTCATTTTGTTGAAACAAATGAAAATGTTATCTAAAATCGTTTGCAGTCAAATTATCTAATTTGCTTGTGTCTTTACATTTAATTTAATAAATCTAACATGAATATACAGCAAGAATGACATATACAGTGTACGAATGAAGGAAATCTTCGAAAAAGAAGTGTGCAAAAATGATTAACGAAATATTTTATCAACTACGGTCAATCATAGAAAATAATGAAGAATATATTTATACATATTGAATTTTATTATAAATTACATTTTTGCAAATGATAGTCTTGTAGAATTTCTTTTCACTAGATCTTTAGAAATACTACTAGTTTAAGCTAGAAAGCTGGAACTTGGAAAAATGAAAGATCTTGGTTTGATAACTAGGTGATAAAAATTTCGGTCATCTATATCAAGAAAAAGTATGAAAAATATCCGTGACAATATTATCCTGTGTGGTTATGGGCAACCCTTTATGTATCAGAAAACCATAGAAATACATTTATTATCACTTTGGTTCATATTTAAGAAATATTAAAATATTTTGTCCTTTTTCAAATATGTGAAGTAGATGTTTCATTTCGATTACATTGAACTCGGGTCAAACAGTGTCAACTGTCTCGATCTATATTTGTATTGAATAGGTAGCACGTAGTATATTTCACTGTTAGTAGAGGTCAACAAGCATATGTTTGAATAGAATGTCCGCGTGAAATAAATGTTCTGATCATATGACCACTGATGACATCATAGCTGATCGGAGTATAAGGAGAAGGGGTATAATACTGGGACGTCTTTAATGTAGCTGGGCTGTTCAATTGGGGTTTGGTGCCCGTTTTCTTTTTCTCTTTTTCTCGTTCTTTCGATAAGCGGTCAACTGTCTCGTTATTTTTTCTTTTTTCTGCAATCGAGGCTCGCCCTAGTCATACCATAGTCGTTCTTACATACGGTCATTTCTTTTTTTGTGCGTTTGTAAGTGCGTACAATAATATTCAAACCGTCTTTAGTCGGTCGACTAATAAAACATTGTTCAAAAACTGAGTAGCACAAACACACATATAATATCAACCCGTATTTTAATGTAAGTTTCCGTTTTTTTTTTCGAATAATATTTTCTATAATTCTTTAATAGAGATTGAGTTAATAATTTAGGCTATATCATATGAAAAATCGAATGTAGTAATGAGCTTTTTTGTTTTAGTTCGATTTAGATTAAAAATTTTCTAGAAAATAAAAAGGGTTTGATAAGAAAATAATATGTAACAAGAAACTGATTCAATAGGCAATATTCGATGAAAATATTCTTTTAGTTTTTTTTTGTGTTTGTTAAGGTCACATGATTGTAATATATGCGTACGTCTATATAGATATATGTACCTATACAGATATATTCTATACATCCACTTGGATTGTTTGTGTTCGAGTCGAAAGAAAAAACGGGTATTCATTTTTTTTGTTCTGCGTTACTACTACCGGTCAATAGCGACATATTTCTCTCTCTCTCTCTTGCTCTCATCATTGTCTTAAAATATGTCGTGATCAGGATAACTAATTTTACTTATATATTATTTTAGATGGTATCTACAACAACAGTACCAAAATTTGGCGTTCGATTTCCAACACGTAAAGAAAGAACAGTCAAACGAGTTACTAAATGTGAAACACGAGAAATTCAAAAACGTATATTTAAAAAAATAAAAATTTTCTTTCAATAAATCAAAACAAAAAAAAATCTTTTTTTTTGTTTTTCTCTATTTATTCAAGGTCTTGAACCGCCAAAACCAGCACGTGTTCGTCCACCTCCTAAACCAAAAGCACCTAAAAAAAAACCACCACCACCAGCTACACTTTGTAAACCACCTAAACCTCCTCGTGTATCTGCTACTCGTTCACATGAACGACAACCATCATCAACATCACAAACATCAACAACAACACCAGCATCATCATCATCATCATCAAAACCAACTAAACAACAAACATCTTCTCTTGCTACAGGACGTACTTTACAAGCACCTGATTTAGAAAAATTAGCACGTCTTAATTGTTCACGTGAATTCAGTCTATTTCATAAATTTATTAAACCTGAATTAGCAAGATCATATGAAAATCAATTAGCATTTTTACAAACAAAATTACAACATTTAAAAAATGAATTTGTTAATAAACAAGCTGAACATTTAAATTTTGAACAAATTCGTGATTATTATAATCAAGCTGTACAAGATAATGTACGACGTCATATTAAACCAGATGAATTTTTAACATTAGCTGATAAACTTAAACAAGATTCAAAACAAGTAAAATTATATCATTGTTCTTTCTTTTTTTTTCTATATAAAATAAAATATTTTTATTTTAGGCTATTGATAAATGGCTTCGAAAAAAAGAATATAAACCACAAAAACAAATAACTGAATTTTTACAAAGACGTCAAGCACGTATTCGTGATCGAATCAAAGAAACACTTGAAGAAGCAAAAAAAACACAACAAGCAACTAAAGAAGGAGAAACTGAAATTGATACGACAGAAAGTAATATTTCGGTAACATCTTCAATAACAACAACAGAAATCACAAAAACAATAACAACCACAATAATAGAAGAAGAAGATGATGAAATCATGATTATCGATTAGCATAATATGCTATGAATTTTATTTGTAGAAATATTATTCCATATGGATTTACTTAAACATTATAAATATCTATTTCATTTTTTTTTTTCATTATAAAAATTTAGTCGTCTTTGTTTTCTTTTGTTTTGCTGTACTTATTTATAAAAATCACAGTTGAAGAATCAAAAAAAAACAAGCCAAAGTTGTGTGATATATACTTATCTAAATCGATAGCTACGAGAACATTTCAGTAGAAGCAAATGAAAAAAAACTGGGTATTTTTCTCTTGTTAAAATCACTCATCTTATAAAAATATTATATACAACTTTTTTAAAGTCTATTTACATATCGTGAGATATTACTAAGTAGCGGGTGTCTTTTTCTCTTAGCTCCTAAGCCTAAAAAGTTTTCTACATATTCCAAAAGATATAGAAGTTTCAGTTGTACAACATAGTTAACTTTGTTGGCACCGTATTGAAAAGATTCATGACTATTCAATAATTTCACTACTCTCTGCGGACACTCTTTAAGTTTTGTAAAGTCTTCGCACATCAAATCTAATGTCGATAAATAGAAAAATTAATGCTCTATACTTCTACGAACTTTTCAAAGTTTCTGAGGTTGATACTTGTGAGGACAAGACTTACGATTGAGTACTGTTGATGTTTTTGCGTTTGTTTTGGAAAACCACGCTTTTGAACTACAGACTTGCTTTATGAAAAATTTTGTTATTATCTTGTCGAATGTAGAATTCAATTCTAAAAACAACAATATAAATATTAAATTGAACTGTGAAAGCATTTAATTTGTTTCAAATTAGAAGATAACTATGAGATTAGTGTACCAACAAGAGGATGTTTTTTTATGATGCTTTCATGTGTTTTACTTGAAAACTGTTTCTTCCTAAAATATTTTTTTTTAATTTTTAAACACATCCAAAGATACAGAATTTTAAGAAGAATTTTGTAACATAGTTGAAAATTTATGGAAACCTTGTTTTTGAAAAAACTGTCACAAGTTTTTTTTCGTTTTCTTGAATGTTACAATTGAACGACTAAGTAGATGTTCGTCTTCTAAATTTTTCGCCGACAAGAGAGATTTATTTGAGAAACAAAAACAACAATAGTGTAGGTCTTGAAATTCTCTCTTATAAAGCATGAAAGGACATTGTTTTTATGGCTAACGAACGAAAGAAAAATGCAATGAGATTTAGTGCATTTTCTCTGGTGATTGTCTTTATATATTTAACTATAATACTATTACTTTCTAAGAATATAAAACTGTACCGATATGATTAAAAGGAATTATTTCCATTACATTTTATTTTTGTGGCCATTTTCGAAACATTTGCTAATGAAAATGAGAACAATGCGTTGACTCAGAATAGATTAATTCTTTGAATCTTCAATGAAGTTTGCTAAATTGTGTTGAAGCTAGCCATTATATTAAGTTATTTCAGATACCCAAACATACATAAGACAAATATTTCGTGCATGCCTTCATGTCATTTATACTCAATATAAGATTTTATATAAATTTTATTAGATTTAAATGTAAACTTTAAGGAATATTAGAGAAAATTTTAGAATCTTCTCCGCAAAGGGCTATATCTATGTGCGACTATCGTAGCATATTCTGGAACATTTTTTTTTGAAGAGTCTCATATTTTTATTAAATAAAGAACGAGAATATTGTTGACAAGAATTTTAGATTTTTGCATATCATTCTACAACTTATTCACTATAAAATCATGTATTACCTTAAAGCAAATTCTAGAAAGTATTACATACAAGATCATATAAATGTCTCTACTCATGAATTGAATTAATATCCATTGCTTTGTTCCAAAAGATTGCGTATCACTTTTGTTACTATGAAATTCACTAGTTCAACCTACAAGTGGAAAAACTTTTTAAAATTATTGTAAATTACAGTGTAGTTTTTATGATATAATTTTATTTTTAATAGAAAGCAAATGCATGAATAGTACTTTTTTTTGTTACAGTATTAAGCAAGGTTCTTTCATGTTTAAGTCTAATGTTTAAGAAATCGTACACCAATAAAAGCCAAACCACGACAAAAAATTACAAAAGCTAATAGAACACCAATACAACCACCAATAGAAATATAATTATATCCACGTTCGTGTATTAATTCTTCACCATTGTGTATACATTTTGCTGTTAGATTATATGTTGCATTTACAATCGTAGTTTTTACTCCCTCACAACTTAAATTCAAACCATGTAATTCGTTTAAAGCAACACCAACAAATGTATATTTTATATAAGATAAAGCATCAATCCATGACAAATACAGTGGTACTCGTGATGGTGCAATAAAGAAACCACCAAATAGACGTGTTACTTCAAGTACCATTGGTAGAACTGTAACACTTAATGATGTTGTTCGACATAAAGCCGAGACCATTAATGCCATTGATGTGGATGTTATTGAACAAAGAATAATAAAAAACATAAAAAGAAAGAATTTGCCAGCTTCTTGTTGTAAACCGATAAGAAAATAAACAATACATGACTATAAAATAGCAAAAAGAAAAATTCATTGCATTATTTTATATCAAGTAATAGAATGAAATATACGAGACAAAATTCTCTTAGTTTTCGAAAATACTAAATAATAATGTATCAATTATATTCCATATTCAAACAAGAGGGATCTTTCTTAGCCATAAAATCACGAGAAAAAAAAGCGAAAATTCTTTACTTCCTGGTACTTCTAGGTTATAGAGAATTTGTTCAATACAATTTCTTAGCTATTGTAAGTGTACTATCAGGAAAAATGAAAAATGACAGATGCACAAGATAATATAGAAATTTATAATACAAGAATAAAAGATTTTTTTAAATAAAAGCTTAACCTTAGATGAATAAGCTAAACCATTAGAAAAGAAAGGATGTGGGTGCGGATATCGGTATATGGAAGATGCAAGAATACATAAACCCGCACCACATTTACGCGCCACACTCATACATTCACACGTATCTCTTATTTTTACTTTTGCTGCCGCTTAAAAGTAAATTGTCCTGATAGATGACTGACATCCACTTTACTTTTACGTGATACTAATGCAATAATTAGAACGACTAAAGATAATTTATGAACTGAAATTCTATCTTTTCGTACAACTGAAATTTTATGTTCTTTTATTATAAATTTTTTGACTAGTTTTCCCATCGATTAATTTTCGTATCGACCAATTATCGGACTTGAAATAGCTAAGAAGTTCTCAAGAATAGCGTTGACATACGCTGACAGTACGATGAAGTAAGGAACTTTTACTTTTTATCCCATGGGTAAAATGCTACATTTATTAAGCATTGGTGGAATACAGGAAAAACATACTATTGAACGATAGTTGACAAATACACTACGAAAGTTTGTCAAGATTATTGATCAGAGCTATAAAAAAATAATCAACATTTTTATCGTGTATATATCTGTTGCCATCTATTTCTACGGATGAATGAATAACTATCAGACATTTTGTAATACACTTGTTATTGTACAGAAAAATACGTCCTATCTTAGAAATTTAGAACGAAATTTTTAATCCTATATTAACAACTTAAAGTATGAAAATGATTTATTTCATTCATTCTAAGTTAGCTATATTAATAATATACGTACAAATAAAATCGGTACTGGTAATTGAACAAGTGTATCGGCAAGAATTTTTGCTACAAAATAAGCGCTAGCAAAATATGTACCAGATGCTCGTTCACGTAATGTTAATGTTCGTTCAACAGGAAATGAATTAATAACTGTTAATGCACCAAAAACACCTTGATTGATAGCACAAAAAAATAAAACTGGTTCACGACGTACAATACTTCTTTGTGTATTACCAATTTTTAAAAAAACAGTACCAATTAAGATAGCCATGATAGCTGTTTGTAAAATTGAAGTTATAACAAGAGATATTTTTCGTAATTGTTCTCGTAAATTACGACGAACAAGTATTCGTACTTGTTTATGCCATGTTGGATTATGTGGTAAATTAGTCATTTGTTCAAGACGTTTATTTCCACCCATATTAAGATCAATATCAATTGGCGGTTGTGCTTTTAGAAGTGCTTCATCAACAGCTGTTTGTTGTTCAAGTGATAATACAGGTTGATCGGGATCTGTTTGATTAGGTTTTGGTGGTGTTATTACATCTAAAAGATGATCAGCTGGATTTGTAAATAATGGACAAGGAAAACCAGCTGCACGAAATACTTCCTAAAATATATAAAAATCATATTGATTCGTACAAAATAAAATTCTAAAAAGAAAAAAAGAAAATTTTTTTTATTGTTACTGTCGATTGTTTTCTTGAACCTTGATACATGATATGACCTGCTTTAAGTAAAACAATTGAATCAAATAAATTAAATATTTTTGCTTGTGGTTGATGAATTGAACAAACAATGGTTACAGCTTTTTGTTCTGATTTACCATGTGCAAGTGCATGAAGTGTATATAATAAATCAAGTGCTGTAACTGAATCTAAACCAGTTGTTGGTTCATCAAGAAATAATAATTGTGGACGATTAAGTAACTGCATAGCAACACATAACCGTTTACGTTCACTACCTGATATACCTCGTTTTGATTGAACACCAACAATATCATATCGTGCATGTGCTAAGCCTAATTCATCAACAACTTCATCAACACGTTGTTGTCGCTCTTTATCTGTAAATGTTCGTGGTAAACGAAGTTCAGCTGTAAACATTAAGGTTTCTTCAATAGTTAAATATGCACTTAATAAATCATCTTGCATAACATAACCAGCTATGCGTTTTAATTCTGCATTATCATATGGTGCGCCGTTCAGACGCATTTCACCTTCAACCATTGTATTAACATCCAAACGACAAGCTAATGTATTTAAGAGTGTTGATTTACCAGAACCCGATGGACCTATATAAAAATTTGTTTATTTTATGTCTATATTAAAGATGAGATATATATATGAAGTAGATCTATATTTAAACTTGGAACACAATCGATCGAAATTAATTCTTAAATAAAACAAATAAAAAGTATTTATGTTCATTCTACAAGATTCGATATCAACTACTCATATAAAAATGATAAAGAAAATCTATAGAGACATAAGTAAAGTCTAAGATAGCTGACAATTTGACAGATTTTTTTTGTATGTTAGAAAGTCGCACTTGTATTCAGTGTTTACTTTTGAGTATGTATCAAAATAATAAAAAAAAAAGAAAAAAAAAAGTTACCCATTACAGCCCATAGTCCACCAGTAATAGCTCCGCTTACATTATGTAATAAACGTTTCGTTTTCGGTTGAAAACTTTTAGATGCTAAACGTCGAAACATTTGTAATTTCTTATCTTCTCGTGTCGAAACAATTAGATTTTTCCAAACAAGAATTGCACTAACACGATCTGACATTGGATCAAGTACAGATAATTGTCGTTCAGACAGCCCTTTACCAGTTGATTGACGATGTTGTTGATGACTATAACTTGACGAAGGAGCTGATGGTGGTGGTACAAATGTTATTCCATTTGAATCTGCATCATGTTGTGCCTCATAAATAACATGCATAGATGCAGCCGATGCCGATGATGTTCGTGGCAAAAGTTTTGTATCTCTACTTTCTTCTTCTTTAATAATTTGTAATTGATGATCACTTTGATTTTGTACATAACTTGAATTTACTTCACCACCACTATTTGTAATATCTATTATTGGTGGATCACTATTCATTTCTTGTAGTTCAAAGCTCTATTAACATAATGAAACAAATAGAAATCGTTTTTTCTTTATTGTGTAATTGAGAAAAATGTTATATTAGTTTTCTGACATACTCATATCAATAATACTAAATATCCGTCTCAGTGATATTCTTTAAGTGAAGAAAAATATCATAACAAAAATCAAGTTTATTTGAGAAAAAAATTCCTTCGTTTTTTCTCACAATTTTCTTTTCGTCATCAAGCTATGATGAGTAATTAAAATCAGAATAAAACTAAAGATTTGAAATAAAAAGATTTACTAACCTTCATGTTAATGTTTTTGTATTCAAATGCTTATTATAGAACCGTACTTGTTTTCTTATTCAATCTACCAATCAAATGATGATTCTATGTCCAATAATAACGCATAAATTATCGATTTTACTGTCTATTACTCACATATATGCGTTTCTTATTTATCTTATACACATTCATTAAACGTCTTCTAGGTATTGCAAAACCTGCGTTACATTTTTTCTTTCGTTTCTTCACATTCATTTGTTTTATGTTTATGATCATTAAGATGACGATGAATAATTGTACTTAACCAAGCGTGCTTTAAAACCTGTAACATACGAGAAAAAACTTCGGATTTATACCCAGTTCGAAAATATATATGACAAGTCATATGATCAATAATATAGGTATATGCATATGACTGAAAAACACACTCATTGTGCCGTTAAATCTCGTAAAAAAACACTTACAAATCAAATTCTATTCAATCACATTTTTTGTCATATTCTCTTACTTTAGTGGTCTACATATGGTCATTTACTTCTGAGAAAAACCAAGTTTCCATCGGTTTTAATTGCCAAGAAATCATAGCAACAAATCAGTTAATATGAACAATTTTGATTCGATATCAACGAGAAATAGGAAGAAAATAATTTGAGAAATAAAAAAGTTTGTTGTATAAACTTCGTTAATACAAAAACTTTATACAAAATTAGAATGATATTCATGCTATTTGTAGAATGAAGTTTTTAATTTTGTTATTCTTATAACTTAATGAAAATTGAACCTTTTGCTATAAAAAAAAATTAACCCTGTCCTCAGCTCATACAGTAGAGTAATATACTGAAAACTTAAGTGAAAATCTCACTCCATTCAAGAGAAAATTCAGTTTTACTAACAAAGTATGGAGAGACATTTTTTAATGTAATTATATATTCATACTGATTTATATATGAAAATCAGAAAGCGGCTTTATATCGAGAGCTCTTCAACACTATCATGATTTTTGTACCTATATTATACCGAAAAAAAGATACTTGGCGTTAACTCGACAAGATTCTTAATGTAGGATTGCACTTATCAGTCATTCTCATCCGTAATCATTCAAGCGTCTAATGGGTTTCATCAAAATAAAAGATATATATGTGTTGTCTCAAACGTCGATACAGAAGGTCGTATCAAAAATATTATTTTCATGCACATTTAACGGTTCTCTATCAAATACAACACTTCATTTTCTCTTGTTATTTAATTTATTTGTGTCAATTTGTTTTCCCGCACAGTAGAACGACTGTACTCTACATTCATATAATTAATCAATAAATTGAAATTTTCCGGTTTGATAGGTACGAAAAACTGCAAATAGACATGAAACATTCCTGAGTTATATACTTCATTACACTCTGTGCCTATGTTAAGTGGCAATAGTTTCCTAACACTTCACTGAATATGTAAGGAGACATAGATATTGTAAAAATTATTTTTTGCTTAATTCAATTATAAAACTCGTTTTACTTGTTGAGAAGGTTCGAAACATTTTTTTAGTTATGCATCGAGCACTGGAGGTCAGAAAAGGTCAAATATACTTGAATTTGCTGACTGTATTCTTTTCATTTATATTATAACTGAAAAGAGTATATTTGAATGAATTCAACTGGAAATATCTTCAGAAGAGATATAATGTGAATTTCTTCTGAATGATAACAAGTCAAGAGCTGAATTTTTTATTATTATACAAACAATGAATTTTTGTTTTTGTAATATATCTCTTAGTGGCAGTTGAGCATTCAAAAAGAAATAACATTCAAAACAAATAAGTAAAATTTATTAAACGAAACAGAATTTATTAGCTAAAATCTTACGCATACTAAAAGGCTATATCATTTTTTGATATAACAAGAAATCAACTAGTCACTATTTATGAATATTGAAACAAAAAAGTACGTTTATATAATTTATAATTCAAACAAATCCTATGATTCTATATTTTCAATCGAAAAAAAACTAAATCCTAATTTACAAATCTTTTTCATGCTTTTTTTTCCATTGTTCATATGCTTTTGTAAATACATCAAGTTCACTTTTTCCAAACATAGCAAAAATAACTGTTTTTAAATTTTGTACTTGTGATAATTCTCGAGCAACTGTTGATATTGCTATTGATGCTGCATCATTTAATGGATAACCATATATACCTGTACTAATTGATGCTAAACCAAGTGCAGTAACTGTTTTTAAACGATCAGCTTCTCGTATCACATTTGTATATGTTGCTTCGAGAAGTCGTTGAGATTCATCATGATTTGTTGAAGAATAAACTGGACCAGCAACATGTAAAATATGATCGAAACCTGTTTTATATCCTTTTGTAACAATGACTTGTGCAGTTTGAGTTTTATGTGGTACAAGTTGTTTTAATTCAGCTAATAATTGAGAACCAGCTGCTGCATGAATTGCTCCATCAAGACCTCCACCTATTTTTATCAAACAAATAAAAAATGCCAAAATAAGACATCTACTAATGTGTTTCTTACCTCCTCTCATATATACATTAGCTGCATTAACAATAGCTGTTACATTCGGATGAATTTTTTTTATATCAAGTAGACTAGAATGAATGATTTGCATTTGCCATTTTTGAACTATAGATGAAACTCCGATCATAATTATTAATATATAAAACAATATAATTATATTCATATCACAAATATATTAAAAGAAAGAAATGAAATACAATAAGAAATATAAATTTAAAAAAAAGTGTTTTAAAATATCACTGATTTATTTTCTCGTGTTTAATTATGTATGATTTAGAATAAAAAATAGCAATAGAAAAAAAAAAAACATCAACGATTTTGAGTTTTAGCAATATAAAGAGTGAGCACTGTGTTTTCATTGACGTTTGGTGCTGTGACACCAAATATATAATTATCATCAAGATGATCTCGATTGATAAACCAATATTGTTGCTCAGGACTGATTTGTGTATCACGTGTGACCTAAAAAACACAAGAAAAATAATTCTTCATTAAAGATATTTTAATATTATGTTTTGCTCATTTTTACTATTTGCTTAAGTTCTTTTATAGTTGTTTTTGGAAGAATAGCCACATCATATTGTTCATCAGTACAATTATTAATTAAAAAACTTTCGATTCTTAGTTTCATTCTAAATATATATTAAACACAATTATTGAAACAATAAAAATAGTTGTTTTTCATAGGATATGATTGAATTTTAGAAAGATAATTAATAAGATATCTTATTTCTTTTAGAAATAATTGTTTACAAAATTAACTTACATTTGAAAGATCAAGTTGATGCTTGAAAATGATACTCAACACATTTAATAGTTAGATTAGAAACAAAAATTTTCGAAACAAAGTATTGTTGGCTTTCTTCCTTAACGATAACAACTAGAACAAATTGAGAAAATATTTGATTGTTTGCAACAATTTACTATCATAAGAAGTATTTGTCAAATTATTATTAATAGGTTTGAGTAAAAGATAGTTAAAAAACCAAAATCAATTTTCTGTATTCAATCATATACGTTGTACAAACAAAGTCATCTGATAGAGAAAAATATTTCTAAATATAATAAGATTTTCCCAAGCTTTATACGACCTGTCTTTAACGTATGACAATCACAGTGTGATAGACCGAAAATACTGTTTTCTGTTGTTTTTATGAAAATGAATATGAATTTTCTATGTTTTACATATTGGAATTTCGTAGAATGAGTATAATTCATTGAACACAGCTTAGAGAGAGCTTAAGTATATCGGATTTTGTTCTCTAATATTTTCTCTACCAGATGAACTTGTCTTTAAAATGTATTTAATACAGTGCAGAAAACTGGTTTTAGTTTTTCAAAGATCTTTCATCCAAACTAGTTAATGAGAATGGGGCAAATACTTTTGTCTGATAGGATATTGTTTCAGATAATCAAATCTTTTCTCTGATTTGTTCTAGCTATTATAGTTGAGGAAAAAAATTAAAAATTCTTCGTTTCTAAACTTCTAACTTTCACTTTATATATATTATATAATATTGAATTTTCTTGATCAAAAAAAAACATTTTAAGATAATTTTCTTGAAAGATTTTAATAGTATTAATGATGAAAAGAAAATTTTTCAATAGAAATTTCAATGAAGAATTTTACAAACATTTATTCAATAAGTTTATCATATTGATTAATCGATAATTTTCAAAAAATGAACATTGAATTAGACTAAAGATCGAGAATGATAGTTTGTTTTTAGTTTCATTCATTTTAAGTTTCAATAAATTCTGTAAAATATTTTTTCATTTGACAAACTATGAATTTAAAGCAAACTCAATAGGATCAAAGTATAAAAGTTGGTCTTCTATAAATACGTCTATCTGGTAGCTCAAAAAGTAAAAAATTTTATTATTTATATTTACTGTATTGGTTTTACAGGAGGTACTGGTGGTTTTCGTGGTGTTGCGTTCCCGTCTTCATTAATCATGTCGAGAACAAATCGAATTGGAACATTTTTAGAAGCAAGCTGACGAGCAATTTTAGCAGCTTCATCTCCATTGTTATTATTCAATGCTTGAATTAATCGATTGACATCTTCGTTAGGAATAGGTTCATGTGTATCATTTTCCATGGTAGTAGTAGGTTCTAGCAACATGATGAATTTAATTTATTTTTTCAAATAAGAATTTATTCACCTGTCAAATAATCTCGTATGTATTTTAACAATTCTGTACATTGTTTTTCTGTATCGAGTATAATCACTGTTTCGTGTTTAGAATCATTACGAATGCATTCCACACTACCAGCACTTGATGAATCTGCTAAATAAGAACACTCTCTTAAACGACATTGCAGAACAATCTATAAAAAGAATCTATGAAAATGAAATTTCATTATAAAATTAAAATACTTCATTGTCAGGTGGAGCTCGAACAGTAAGTTTTGGATTGGATTTGTCAGTTGTCAGTTTCAAAATCACATTGGTAAAGCTACGAATATTGCCAGGTTCTTTGTCATCTTTAATTCTAAACTGGGCTACACGTCCTGTACTATAGTATATAAATAGAAAATTGGTAAAAAAAAATTATCTTTAAAGTGAACCAAGAATGAAGTCAATGCTTACAGCGACATGAAAAATATCTAGAAAGAAAAATAAATATAAAATTTTTCGGCAAACTGAAAAAAAGACAACTATATTATAATAGAAACAATTTTAATCTTTAAATACATGATTACTATCGTAGTTCGATTTTACATCGATTATTGAAAATTTCTTATAGATTCTTTATGCTTTTTCATAATTTTCGTCATGAGACATTGTTTATGATAAGCGAATCTGATCAGTTAATACAAATTCATATATCAGTCAACTATCGGCATGCATTTGTTTTATCAAGAGAAAAAAAATCTGATTATCATTTAGATTAGTCATATTTTCAAAATCGAAGGTTCATCATGTCCAACTAATTCAATATGTAAATAAGTAAACTTTAGAATTTAAGTTCACCTAGACATCAATAGAATGAGTCGATGATGATAATTTACCTGAACGCATTTTATGATGATAGAAAAAAAATCTATATTTGATAACCGTATGAGAATAAGTTGAAAACTGAAATCATTGAGAGTTCGATGTTAATTATTGTTTTAACAATTTTCTTGTAATAATACATTTTATCGGTAATATATTCGAATTGAACAATTTGTTGATATTTGTATCATAGAAAACTTTAAAACGCAAGATGTATTTATCCTAATTGTTATTTGTTTTTGTATGAACAAAGTCATATGAAATAGATAAATGAATAACAATATACAAAATATTTTTACTCTGAAATCTTAATATAGAGGAGACATTTCAGAAATATATATGATTAATGTATTACTACGTCGAATAGAATTCACTAATGATGATTGTTGATTTTAATTTGATATTAGTGATAGTGAAGATCCGAATATATATTCATTAAAAATTGGATTTCAATAAAAAGCAAACTAATATTGACTAGTATCATTGATACTTGCTTCTTTTTTTCTATTTAAAGTATCAAATTAAATTTTAATAAACATACAAAAAAATAAAAATATTTTTCATAATAACAAACTTGCTACTTTAATCATAGAAATAGTGTACCAGAAAGAACATTGATATGCTCTATTTACGATCTTATGATATCATCGATTCTGATTGATTTATAATTTCAAAATAATTATATTTTTTAAAGTGCCGATAAATCTATATAAATAATTGTTAATTAGTCTTACAATTGTACATAATATCTATAATATACAGTATTAGGTAAAATTATAGAATTATCTTTCAACTTTGATTTCTCTCGAATTTTATTCTTCATTCATATCAATTTTCGTTTCAAATTCACTGCTCATATATAGATTCATATGTGCCCGTTCAATATTTATTACAATAAATATTGAATGAGTACATATGTATCAACAGAGTCGGAAATAATATCATTCCAGGAAAGTAACGTCATAGTTTCAATTAGAGTCAGCAATAAATTTTATATCAAATTAAAACGCGTCGAAAATAGGATTTATCAATACTAAATAGTAAAGTTTATGGCAATTTTTCAGAGTCGGATTCAGCAAATTCCTGAATTTTATGCCATGTCAACACGTATAAATTCTTTTCAAGACTTTGATAGCATTTTTTTAACTCCATTTTTTATTATTTGTTTTCATGTTTCCAGACAAGGTGTCGATTACTTTATGATAACCATAATTTAAATGAGATTAGTTTGAACTGCCTCATGAGAAGAATTGTTATGTATCGACATGGCGTAAAATTCAGGAATTTTCTGAATTTGACTCTAAAAAATTGCCATAAACCTTACTATTTAGTATTGATAAATCCTATATTCGAAGTACTTTGATTTGGTATAAAATTTATTGTTAACACTATTTAAAACTACAGCGTTACGCCCCTCGAATAATATTATTTCCGACTCTGTATTTATGATCTTGTCAATACAATAAAAATTTTATTGTTACTATTATCTCTTCATATCTGTGTTGTCTGTCGGAGTATAAATAGGAATTAATAATTTCGTATGCATCTTTCGTAAATTCTTTCTATTCAGTGACTAACGCATCCTATACATTTGTTAAATGATTAGAGCCTATCGGATTCAAAGTTTATCTGATTCGAATCAAAGCCTGACGCGATAGGCCGTGCTCAAGTAACCTCTACACATACCGTACTATGTTCAAAAGATGCTTGTAGATGAGCAAATAACTCAAGTAGTGACTTATTGCTGTTATTTCATTCCTTGATGATTCAGAAAACCATTCTATTCCCTACATGTATACATTGTAATAAAACTATATGGAATTAATATATAAACATGATTAAACTTTCCATTAGACAAAATACCAAACATATATTGATTATCTGTATGTATCGAATAAAATAGTAATTCTAACATTACTAATTTTCATAATTAATTATACTACTGTTGAATTCGTATCATTTTAAGTTCAAACTCACTTATAATTGAAAAAAAAAGTAAATACTACATGTTTTACTTTCTTACTTATTATTCGAAGACATATCTGAAAGAAAATACAAGTAAATATAATATTCTTGAAAGAACAAAAAGAAAGAAACATATTTATTTACAAAAGAAAATCTGACAGAACATTAATAAATTTTCAATACACAATGTTATACTACTCCACCGCCGACTCCATTGTTTGGCGATCCAGGACCTTGTTGTGCATCCATTTCATCATCTTGTTCACCACCTTCACTTTCTTCTTCAGCTTCATCACCATCTTCATCATCCTAAAAATAATAGAACAAAACGAAAAAAAAAACAAATTCTTATAATTTGATTTTTAAATAAAATCATACATCTCCATTATCCATTTCTGTTCGTCCATGAAATGGTAAATTTAAACCTTAAATTAAATTAATTTAGCTTAAAATTGAATATAACATGTTAGAAACCAAAAAAGAAAACCTTTTTCAAGATAACGTCGTCGTTCTTGTTCAAGTATTTCTTCAAATTTAGCTAAACTAACATCTTCTCGAACTAAAAATAAATTATTAAATATGAATCTTTCAATATAGTTTTTTTCTCTTACCAGGTTGTAATGGTCGAAACCATAACGAGTTAACTTTTGATGTTTCAATAGTTGGCAACAAATGTGATGACATTTTCCTTTCTTGCTCGTTTCGAGGAAGAAAAATATGTGAGTTTCATTTTTTTTATATATCTCAATCAATTTCTTTTTATGACGACCAATAGAAAAGTAGTCAAAAGCCTCTACAACTTATTGGATAATATCTATTGAGACACTCATTATACAATAATATATTATAATTTTTTTCTAAAAAATTTTAGCAACTTCAGATATTAAAATATTTTACTTGTAAAGTACTGACTTAAAACACGAAAAAAAAATAATAAACTAACTCATTGATTCATATTAGTTGGAAATATTTTTTTTGCAACATCCTTATTTTTTTTGTTCTGTTTTCAAAGATTATTGTTTTGATAAGAATGAGTATTGCAAGTTATAGTAAATGTCGTATTCAATTCATTCCAAAGGAACGAGGACGTCCTGATGTTAATTATTCAGATAGATCATTTATTGAATTGAGACAAAATGATTTTGCTGATTATTTATTACGAGCTATTGACGTAGATAATAATAGAACAGTATGATAATAGTTTAATTCAATACCTAATTATAGAAACAACAATCTATTGTAGGAAATCTTTAATATTCGATTTCAACGATCAAATCAATATAAACGTGGAGCAACAGCTAATCAACCGGATGGTATTAAAGATGATGATGGACTTTATTTGTTATGGTTGAATGATGCTACACGTGATCAATTTCATAAAGCATTAGATATATCTATCGAACAATTAGACTCAATTCCCAAAGAAGAATCTAAGCCTCCATCTCCTCCGCCTGCCGCTACACGAAGAGAAAATCGACGATATGATGATACACCACCACAGCAACCAGCACATCACGATCAAAATGGTAAGATATTCCTATTATTTAGAAAAGTGATTAGTTTCTCACTTTTCAAATAAATGAACGAATAGTAAATAAGACTAAGAGATCTCACAACTATAGACATTTGATTTGATTGTTCTTGTAGATTTTTTTGAAGATCATATTTGATTTTAACATTCAAAGTTAGCATTATCCTTGTAATATTTACAATTATAGAGATAGAATTATGTGTTAAATAGTAATGAGATTTAAAATAAGTATATGATGTTATATTTTTGAAAGGTTTCATTGTTTTGATAATAATAAGACAGAGCGTTGCCGAACAAACTTTTGCTTGTTTTCTCTTGAAAATTTTCTCATCATACTAGTCAGATTTTGTCAGAAAAAAATAACTATTTGAATACGAGACAGCAGATCATTGTGGTAAATTCTATTTTGACTAATATTAAGAAGAAATATTATTTATAAGTCGTTTCACTCGAGTTTGTAACACATTTCTTGAAAGATCGAAAGTATTTCTTTCTCTATTCTATGAACATTTTTGTTGAATATTTGAATCTTATAGACATTTTGGTTGATGTTTATCAATTGGGTCAACATATAAGACAAGGTTATGTCAACGAAGCTGTTGCTCTTAGTAAGAAATTAGCTACTCGACATATTCCACTTCAAGCAAACCCATGGACATCATCGAAAGAAGAACAGACTATTCAGTATGTAAACAAATAATAATATTGTTTTTTTTTTTGTTTCATTTTCAATTCATTTATTATTTCGTTAAATAGAATTCGAATCAAAATTGATAGTAATGATCCAAGTCTTAGTCTCAAATATGATGAATTTACTATGGCTGTTTATCCATCAACAACAATTCATGAATTGCGTACTGCTGTAAGTAAAAACAAAACATAAATTAGATTTTCTTTTTCAAATTTGATTTTTGTATTATAGTTAGAATATTCAAATTATAATTTACCAAGAAATCAATATTTTTTTGTTAATGGTCATTTAGCTGATGAAAATTTTACTATGAAAGATTTAAATGTTCAATCTAATTCACTTTTTATATTATTTATAATTCAATAATAATAAAATAAAAATATTAATTATGTTGAATGTTTATCATTTGTTCAAACAAGTCTTTTGTTTTTACTTGACATTAATAATTTAATCATTTTTTATAATAACTTTTTCTCTTGTATTGTGATATAAAGCTTTCTTTTTCTGTAGTTAGCAAAAAAAAGTATCTTCCTTTTCTTATTGTAATCTAGATAAAATGAGTATTATAACTTTTAGTAAATGTCGTATTCAATTTATTCCAAATGATAGACAACGCCCTGAACGTAATTATTCAGATAGAACATTAATTGAATTGAGACAATATGATTTTCCTGATTTTTCATTACGAGCTGTTGATGTAGATAATAACAACGCAGTATGATAATAATTGAATGCAATATTTAATTATAGAAATATTATATTTTTTTTTATTCATAGGAAATCTTTAATGTTCCATTTAGACAATCAGATCAATATAAACGTGGACAAACAGCCAATCAGCCGGATGAAATTCATACTAATGCTGGAACTTATAAATTATGGTTGAATGATGATACGCATCAGATATTTCATGAAACAATAGATACATGTAGCGAAGTACTAACTCCTGGTAGGCCGTCAGGTTTCCATTTCAACGAATCAGATCAAGATACTGATGACGGCAATAACAATGACAGCAGTGATATCTCCGATGATGATATTCATAGCAAATCCGATACACCTGATCAACCTGTTGCTTATCCAAAGGGTGAGATTGTCATGCAAATTTGTTATATCATCTTACTTGAATGTATATCTTTATTCAAATAAAGAATACACTAACGAAATTGAATTAAAAAAGAATATTAATCCTTTTAAAAAAAAAAACATGTTTAAAATCAGATAAAATATGCATTCATTTTGATCATTGTTCTACGTCATATGTTTCTATTGACTTCATGTTAATTCAGATCATCATTTTTGATCGATAGAAAATAACTATTACAAATAAATATGTCATTGAAATTATTTTCTATTTATATTATAGAATTGCTACTCAAAATTTCTCGTTTGAGTAAATGTATTGAAATAGGTGCTGGAATTGCAGCTGCTCAATTATCTTCTGAATTAGCTTCACAAAATATTCGACTTCAAGCAAAATCATTGAGAACAATTGAAGATGAAAAAGAATTCACGTTTGTTTAATAAAAATATTATTTCTTTTTTTTATTTAATATTAATTTTTTTTTCTTCTAATATATAGAATTTATGTTCAACTTGATGGTAATGAATATGGTATCGATCAACATGGTGGAAAAATTCCTGTTGATGTCTTTCGATTAACAACAGTTCGTGAATTACGTGCCATTGTATGTAAAAGAAAGTTAAAATAAAATAATTACATTCTATTTATGTGAATTACTTGATTTTTGTAGTTCGAATCTGCCTATCAATATCCTCCAAGTAATCAATATTTTTTTGTTAATGGTTATTTAGCTCATGATAATTTAACAATGAAAGATTTAAATGTTGGACCCAATTCTTTATTTGTTTTATTTGTCTTAACACATCCAAAAATATTTCGAAATACTGCAAGTGTTTCTTTTAATGTATTTATTTAAATGAATAATTACTTCTTTTCTTTTTCGAATAGGGTCCTTGGGAATGTTTAATTTGTAAAAAAAATAATGATCAACATCATTTTCGATGTGTGACATGTGCAGCAGCACGTACAGACTAAGAATATTCATTTGTTTAATATTTTTCTTAATCATCGAAAGATATTGTGATAATTTTTTTATATTTATTTTCTATATGATTTATTATTCTAGATATTTATTTTTTATGTTTTAAATAAATGAAATATGGCTACATCTTCAGTTCGAAATGTAAGAATAATTTAATATGTTGTTCTTATTAGCTTTGAAATACTACATTCTATTCAGTGTTTTATCCAGATTTTTTATTCCGGAAGGACAAATTAAAACTCCTGGAGAGCGAACATCCATTCTTCCGAGCAAAGACACATAGTATATGATATAATAACCACAAAACTCTGGAGGGCCAACCTATTCTTCGCAAGATGCTGCCTTGTTGACGCTCATACTTTTTCTATTAAACATCACTGAAATACATAAATTGTTTCTATTAATATTGAACAGTTATGAAAATTTAGTTTATAAGGAATATTCTCCTTGTTCTAGTGATAAATCATTTCGGGTGTAACAATGATACAAATAAAAAAGAAATACCATTGAGATTTATATAGAAGAGTGTCTAGAGTGGGAGAGTTATTTCCTCGTAATTTTGAGAAATTTTTCTTGTTTTTTTTGCTTAACCCTTCTCAAGAAGCAATATTTTAAACTAACTATTAGTTTCTATAGACAACCAACGATTCATCTTCAAATGTAACACCAGTGGTAAATAATTATTTTTATTTTTTCAATAAATATTTATGAATATTTTATTTTGTTATTCTAGTCTGCTTATTGGGAATGTGTTGATTGTCATACTTATAATCCATCAGCGCGGAAATCATGTAAAATATGTCGTCGTGTTCGACAAGATTTACTTGATCAATGTCTTAAAGAATCTAAAACGCAAAATGTAATTATTGAAATTTGTTCAAAAATAATTTTTAATTTATTATTTGTGACTAGTCTGAGAAAACAGGTGTTGAATCAAAATTAAAAACTTCATCAAATCAAATAAGTACAAATAATAATGAATCAACTTGTTTTACAACTACAACAACAACACCAGTAAATAAATAAATAAATAAATAAAACTTTTAAAATATTTCTTATTAGATTGATTTTTTTTTCTGTGTTTTTTTTTAATACTGATTTAGCCACCAAATTGGTATTGTGTTATTTGTTCACATCATAATTGCAATAATGATTCAGCAACAATATGTGCTGGTTGTGGAAGTATATTTATGACAAATATCGAATATCTTAATTTTGTACATGAACAAGAAAAACAATTATTACGTTATCAAGAAGATTCCAAAGCATTTCAAGAAGATTTACGTGAACAAGCACATGCTGCTTATTATAAAAATAATGATGAATTTGAATGTATTATTTGTTATGATTTAATAGGAAAAAATAAAGGTGTTTTGTTTCATCATTGTTTACATCCAATGTGTAAACGTTGTTTATTACAAATGATTGAAACAAGTACTGAACCATTACTTAAATGTCCACATGATGATTGTACTACAATTATTGGTGAAAGAGAATTACGTGGTGTAAGAATGAAAAATTTTAATTAGAATTAACTAAAAAAAAAATAAACAACAAGTCTCTTCATTTGAATAATTAGGTTGTGAAAGATATGAAACGTGATCAAAAATTAGTTGATAGATTAAATGAAATTGGTGTACGCTGGGCTGAAAGTCGACATAAAACATTTCATTGTATTACACCAGATTGTAAACAATGGTGGTTTATTGAACAAGTACAAGGAAATAATATAGTCTATTGTGATGTATGTTTGATCCTATATTTTCCCCATATCAAATCTTTTATGAACTGAGTTTACTTTTTTTTTTTTGAAAGGGTTGTAAACATTGGATTTGTATGACTTGTGTAGCTGTGCATGAAGGTCAAAATTGTAAGTCTTAGTAACCTACTATGCTTATTATCCTATTTTATTCATATATGTAGGTCTAGAATATCAAGAAGATCTTAAAATTCGAGCTATGAATGATATAACGGCTCGTAAAGATCAAGAACATTTAGAAGTAAGATTAACATCAAATAGAAATCTGAAATCCTTTCAAATAAATTATCGTTTTTAGGAAATGATCAAAAGAAAAGAAGCAATGCATTGGTAAGTATTTATATGTAATCTTGTGTATATGTATATCATATATAATATGTTTAGTCCCGGTTGTCAAGTCATTATACAAAAATTGTCCGGTTGTGACTGGTTACAATGTACACAATGTAAAATGGAAATTTGTGTAAGTATACTGTTCTTTGCTTGATTTTTTTGATTAAAATAAAATTTTATATTTTTAGTGGCCAACTCGTGGTCCTCGATGGGGTCCGGGTGGTCGTGGTGATACATCAGGTGGATGTCGATGTCGAATGGATAAAGGCAAATTATGTGCAAAAGATTGCCAAAATTGTCATTAAACGAGACTTTAATAAAATCTTCTAATTTTAGCAGATATATTTATCTTTATTATGTAATTGACATTGTTTTTTAGTCTCAAAATTGCCACTGTGATTATTAACTTTTGTTTTTCTTTTTTTAAAATGAATAAATGGTTTTTCTTACTCATCCTATACTTTTTGTTTTTATTCAATTATTAGTTTAATGAATAAATTAAATTTATATTTAGAGAAATTCATTTTCACATGAAAACATTTTTGTATCATATTTAAATATAAATAGTTTCTATCTAACTTTCGTTTTCAGAAGAGAAAAACAAATCAAATATGCCTTGGCGTCCATTAATGCGTTATTTATCAAATAATGAAGAATTAATTCGTCGTCTTTCAGAATCATATCCAATACGTCGTGCAGCACAATTAACAGCATATTTTTTAAATGTTGGTAAAGATAAATTTATTGAACACCAAGGTAAATATGAACGAGCAGGAGGATGGAATAAAACAAAAAGAGATATAAAAGATGATTTTAAATCAGCACAAGATATAGGAAAAGAATATATATCAACTTTATTTCGACCTTATACAGATACATGGGAAAAATACAAAGAACTTCGTCGACAACAAGAAAAAAGTCGAACATCATCATCTACAACAACAAAAGCAACAACAAAAAATAAAAAACCTTTTTCATAGACAATTCATTAAAATATTATGTCCTTCCTTGTTAGTTAGTACATTAAAGATGTACGGAAATTGTTTGTTCTTCTCTTTTTCTTTGTATACACTGTATTTGATTTTTTATATAATGGAAAAGAGATCACCAGAGATCTTTATTTTATATTTAATGTTAATTTCATCATGATATGACCTTTAAGTATAACTCCATAAATAATCGGATTTATAATCATTGAAAGTTTAGCTAAAACTGCACAAGTCGTCATAAGCCATGGATTATATAAAGAAAATTGATCACCAAATACTTGTGCAAGTGCTACAACACTATATGGTGTCCAAGCAATTATATAAATAATAACACTTATACCAGTAGCTAATACAAAACGACGATCTTCATGTAAACGATGTAAACGTCGAGTTTCTTTTTCATATAATGTATCTGAAATATGTCGTCGTACAGTATCTTCACTTGGAATTTGTTGAAGTTCAAGTAAAACAGCCGGTCTCAAATGTGTTAAACGATAAATAGTACGTTGAATGTAAACATTAACATAAATAACAACTATGATTGGTACAAAAAAAACACCGACAAATAAAAGTAAAAAATAAATTCGTCCAGCTAATGATCGATCAAACCAATCGAGACCACAATGAAAACCAAGTCCTTCAGGAGCATAAGCACTCATACGACCAAATATTGGTGGGACAGCCCAAAGACCACCCAAAATAAAGCAAATAGCAACAAGATGCCAACTATGTTTTTCAAGTCGTCGTTGAAATTGTATTGACATTGATGAATTAGCTGTTGTTGCATATCGTACAATTGATAATGCAACAAGCATATACATTGTAAAACAACCATTGAAAAATGAATTGAAACCTTCTATTCGACAAATTAATGGTATACATAAACGACGACAAAGAAAACATTGTGCAACAACTGATGGTACACTAATAACTATGACACATAATGATGATGCAAACATACCAATAACAAGACCTATATCGCGACGAGGTAAACGATTTTTTTTATTATTCATTGGTAATGAACGTATATTGATTATAAATGATAAAACAGATATAATAAGAAGTAGTGAACCAGCTAATCGTGAAAATCTACATTCATTTACTGTAGCTTTTCGAACTAATGATGGATTAGTATCATTAGCAATTGAATATAAACAATCAACAGCAATGGACACTGTTAAATATTAACAAATATTCAAATTTTTCTTGATTTTTTTAAAAATACATTCAAATTTTTTACTTACTATCATTCACCGTATTTGACATTCTTCTTTCTATTATTTGTCAGTAATCAGATATCAGATAAAATTTGACTTAAGAAAAACAGAAAAAGCATGTTTATATATATATATATATAGCGAGTTGATTATAAAGAATGGTTCTCTCACAAAGGAACATATCGAACTTTTGAACGTCGTTCGACTTTATAGATCTTCCTGAAACTACGAAAATTCTTTGAAAATGAAAGATTCGCACTCGTAACCTGGTGATGAACATGTATGACTATTTTAATGAAATATATACTGAGAGCAACGGATTTCCGTTGAATCCAAAAGAAGGGATCTTTTCTTGAAATTTTATCCATAGGCAAATTTAATTGTCATTAGATGAATGTAAAAGTTGCAATGAAACCGCACAGTGGTTCTCGAAATATTCAATTTCTAAAACAATAGCGATTTACCACAGGAGAGCACACTAATCAAGTTAGAAAATGAATATATCAACAATGATTGTGTGTTCTTGTGTTGAAACTATCGGAACTATCTAATGATAATTAACTCTGCCTATAGGCGAAAATTCAAGTGAATATATATGGTTTTGAGTTTTACGAAAATATGTTGCTCTTAGTATATATTTCATTAAAACATGCAGAATTCTTCATCAGTAAGTGATGAATCTAAATCCTTGTAAGGATTTCTTAGTCTCAAGAGAAATCTACTAGTAGCCATAATATGAAGTTAAACGATATTCTCTAGTCGGATATACTCTCTCGTCTGTATTTCTAAGATAACTTGTTTATGATTTTAGCTCTTCGAACAAAGCGTCTTCAACAGATTCATCTTGTAATTCTAAACAAAATATCTATATTTACTTATCTAACTATTTTAGTTAATATTTTTTTTCTTTCAGGTCAAATAAATGGATTAAAGTGACGATTAAAATTTTTAAAAAACATCCTTTCCTTAGTTTAAAACAGGTCTGACTCTTAAATTTTGTGCACTTTTTTAACTATTGCTCAGTTTTAAAGAGTCGACAGATCAATCTCAAATCTTTTAATCTCATGCAATTAAACCATGATTTCGAAGAAACTAATGATCGCTAACAATAAACAGAAAATAGACGAAAAAACAAACGAAACTAATATTGTCTTAACGCAAAAATTATAGTTCATGCTTTATTTATCGATAAAGTCCATTACCATACTAATTATCTAAATTTGAAATTCATTACCCAAAGCAAACACTATATATTGAAAGTCATAAAAGTAAGATCAATCGTTTAGTCTATCGTATAAAATTTCATTTTGAATGTTTTTCGAGAAAAAAATATTTCAAGTAGTTTCGCAAAAAATTGAAGGATGAATCTTTTAAAACAAATAAATCAAATAGATGAAAACCTAGTCGAGATATTTCAGAAAAACTAACAAGACCATACTTACAGTTTACCTGTTTTGTATATATAGAACGAGAGAGAAATAGATAGATATAGATATAAAGAAAGGACTAACAGAAAAAGAGTATAAGCATACTTTTCATTCTTCTTATATTTTATCTTAGTTTTGCTTAATGCTAATCATAAAAGACTGTGCATGAATAATTCTTCAAATAATCGAAATCAACAATAGGCTTCAACACATTTTTTTTATGCTATCTTATTTTTCTTTATAATTCAGTAAATGCATATAGAAAGAAAAGAAAAACGCAAGAAATTTGATGTCAGTGACAAGATATGTATGAAGAAATTTATTTTTCTCTTTGTTTTGCTCATTATCATATCCAGATATTCTTTTTGTTCATTTTCTATTCTTTATTAAAAATTAATTCTACTATGCCTAGGAAATTGATAATAGCCAGATATTGAAAAAAAATATGATATCTACTGTATAACTTATAGTTCATATTGACTTTATTTTTTTTTAAACTCGTTATCATTTATTACATAATCAGATAATCTTAAATAATATTATATATATATATATGATTCATTTATCTTGAACATTATAACGTAAAAACTAAAATATATCTAAAATTCGATAATGATTAAATATTCTTTCCTTTTTCGATAAAATTTGTATAGAATATAGTCATGAATGTCGTGATACAGTTCTTTTTGTAGAGAGTTATTTGATTTTACTAAGGTGAACAATATTACTTTGTATTCTTTACTTTTTCCTATGCAAACAGTCGTGTTATTTTTCGTCTATTTAATATACTATCAATGAAATAGAAGAGTTGTATAGGTTCTTGTATAGAATTGAAATTCTAGTAATGTACATATGTTATTTATTTAGGCTGCATGAGATTTTCTGGATTATCTTTCTTATCAATCGTATGTTTACCTACTTGCATGACAATTCAAAACAGGAAACAAAAGAAAAAGAAAAGTTTTTTTTCTTATGATCAATACTTACTTGTTTTCTTATATTTACTAACTAAATAGACTATATGTTAGATAATGAATTGATGTAGAGACAATGTTTTTTTTTTTTTGTTGAAACACAAGTGTATGCATCACATGAACACTAATGAAGCTTGAATATGCAGAAATAGGTTAATCTCGTCAACTCACTCTTCATATTGAATTAAATTTAGATAGTGAACATTTCAGTTAACATGAGCGCGTTTCTCTCAAGAATAGCTTCACTGGCTATCTCAACAATGAAATAAAACATTTACTTTATATGATAATTTTGAAGATTTACTAGTTCTATAGATTTACTATATTTAGTATAATTTATAATGAAAATAGAGAGAATTTAAAAAAAATTTTTCACTAACAAGAATTTATATTATCATATCTGGAAAAGTATTATATAAATAATATTGTAATAATGCTCAACCATAAAATTTTCAATGAGCGAAAATTAAAATAAGTATTTAAATTTCTTACATAAACACGTCGTTATTATAAATGCTAGTCAGTAATAACATTGTCAAACGTGTATCTTTTTAAAAGTAAATGGTTATTTCGCTTCTATGAATAGAAAGTTTTCTTTATTTCTTATTTGTTTTTGGTCTCTAAAGAAATCTAATTCATTGAAACGTTAATTATATGTCTAAATTTTTTTCATAAGTATTTTCAAAGTTAATAACATGTTGACTATGATAAAATGAGAGATTATTCTAAGAGACTGAAGATCTACTTTTTGTTAAGAAAAAAAAAAGGAATGTTTTTGCATGAGATTAACATGGAAACTTTAAAGGATTATTTTTGTATACAGGATGGAAAAAATTCTAAAAAAAAGAGTCGACATTTACTCTTAGAATAAAAAGAAAAATATCAGAAAATCTTTACTATGTTTTTCATAGTTTGTTTAATTAAAATCTTATCTAACACTCTTGTTTGATATTTCAATAATTGTTTCTAATTCTATCTTATAAAATAAGTAACGCTAACTTCAGATTTATCTATGATTCTACATGAAAATGAAGCAAATTAAAAAAAAACTGGCATGTAACAATAAAGATTAATAAATTGTTAATGATCTAAATCTTGTATAAGTAAAAAGAAAGAATGTCATATTGTCGTAATATAAAGCTAAGAAAATACTTTTAATTAGTTGTTACTGTCTTTTATTATCAATATTCATTTTTTACTTTTTAATCAAATGAATGCGTAAAACTGCTTTATAATTTTCAGATAAGATCCTGATAGAATTCACGTCTTCAAAACTCATCCAATCATCCTTACTCTTGAAAATACATCAACACACACACACACACATACAATATGTGTTAGAAAAGTGTTTGAAAAGATAAAGTGATATTTTTCTCTTTTTTCGTAAGATTATATAAATGCAGACTATTAAAAAATGCATGTTGACCTATTTCATTAACATTAAAATCCTTTGCATTACTGTCATTTTTCTTAGTACAACCTTAAGTACAAACACATATCTTTAAACTTAAAAGTTTATAATTATCTTTTTTTCTTGTTTTTAAAAATTCCAAATATTTTTCATATAAATACAAATAATAATAGAAACATCCTTAAATGATATCATTAGAGTATATTTATGTCGAAGAAACAATTAGAATATTTTCTCATGACGATGACACTCGGAAATGATGTTAAGATTGCAGCTGGTTTTTGTTTTTTTCAATAAATGTACAGAACACTTGAAGCAAGAGTATATAAACAAACATTCTTTTCTTTTTCTAGATACATAATTAAATTATATTTAGATATATGAAATAGTGGAAGCCGAAAATTATTGAAAAAAATATGTTTTTGCAATTAAGAATATAATTTTAAAATGAATGTACTCATGCGTTCAGACGTTAATAACATGTGCTAATAACAAAAGCATTCATACAATTAATACAATCTATTTTGTGTTCTTCTGGCATATTGAATGAACTTGATAATTGTTTCATTAATAGAGAAAAATAGCATTAGTCCCATTAATATAAATTCTAAAAAGAAAAAAAAAGAACATTGAAAATGATGAATCTATTTCAAGATATCTGCTGTCAGGCTGTTCAGAAAAAATTCGTACTATTATATTGTTACTATTGAGCAGAGCAATATGACGGATGTACTTTTTTAGTTACTTCTCAATTGCGGCCAAAGTTTTAGTTTCCTCCACCCACATAGGCCGTCTTCTAATTACTTTGATCATTCATCGCAATAAATAAGACATGATTTCTTTTTAAAACTTTAATAAAACATCTTTGTGATAGCTAGCACAATGATGTGGTAAAAATCGACAAAATATGACATTGAAATAATGATTGTGACTTTATATGTAGAATTTAGATTAATTCATGATAAAGATTTCTTATATTCTTCTGTTTAAAAAAAATAAGATTCGACTTTGCTTCTGTTAATGACACTATAATCAAATCAATGTAAAGTGTCAAAAAAACATAAAGACTAAATTTTATTAAACATATGAGCAATTATCACTAACAAAATACTATTTTTATAGTAATGTCGGAATATTTTTAATGCAAATGACTGAAATAATCTAGTATTAAAAGAATGAATAGTAAGAATTTTGTCATTTAGATTTTTCATTTCTCAAAATATTTTTTCTTTTGTTCATTCATAGTCAAAACAAGATCATATGAAAAAAACTTTAATGATTGTAATTATCTGTGTATTCATCTAAATGACTTTGTATATATATCAATGGTGACATATTATTTAAGAATAAAACAAATATTTATTATTATAAATAGGAATTCATATCTATATTTTTATAACAATGTAAGACTAATTTTCCAAAATAAAATTCAATTGTAAAATCTCGTCAATTTATATTATTGAAAAATTATTTAGTTTGAATTTCGTACTCATAAAAATATATCTAAAAATATTTTTTCTGTACTCATTAAGCAAATACGCAGTTTATATTTGGACAGTACTTGATATATATATAAATTTATATACGAATTATTTCAATGTTCAAGTTTACAATAAAATGTAAAACATGTCAAAAACTAAGCAAGAGATATTAGAGCTTCAAGTGTCATTAGAAAATAACGATACTTAAATAGTTGGAATTTGTTTTGACATAATTATATAAAATGATTGACCTTTAATTCAAGTTTTAAGATCAATATTATAATTAATTATTTTGATGAACAATAGATTAAAGTTATAGTTTTCTGTGTTTAATTTTATATATTCGGCGATGACTTTTCAAAGTTTTGATTATTAACAGATAATGCATAAGACAGTTGATCTTATTTTTCCGTCTTTTATCAGATTTCTGAATACTCTAAATGAAATTTCCAGTTTTGTCGGTTCAGTTCGAAATCAACATTTTTTTCTAAAAGATTTGCCATCGAAATGTATTTACAACTGATAGACAATTTAAAAAAGTGAGAGGTTTTTTTTTTCGAGCAGTCGAGGTTAGTGAGAAAGTTTTTATTCCTATAAATAAAAATAACCTCAAACAACAGACCTTTATGTATATTTCCATCAAAGATCTTAATAGATTGAGCCGAAGAAAATCAGCTGATGAACTAGTTATCTAATTGCATTGGATAAATTTTAAATACATGAAGGAGCAAGTATATTTGGTGTATCAGTATTTTTTGTATAAAGAAGTGTTCGGTTAAATATTTAACAATTTGACAAAACTGTAATTCTCTCGAATGCATTAATGTTTTTCAATTTTCTAGTTAGAAAACTAAAAGCTTTTCAACAAAAAGATATATTTACTTTTTCATCTTTACTAATTCAAAAAAAAAATTTAATCAATTCGAATGTATATTATTTTGTATGTGATGATGAGTCAACGCCTGTTATCGAAGAAAAAAAATTTAAATAATTAATGATTGAAGAAATTCAATAGTAATAGAATTAGAAAAAGTAATTAATTATGAACGAGAAGAGCTAAGTAAGGACATTTTGTTGAATATAAAGAAAGCTGTTTAACATGACAACAATTTTATCTTTTCCTTTGTTTTACTTTATTTATTTACTGTTCATTGCAGAAATGTTTTAGCCATAAAAAGAATTAAATGAGAATTTCGTAGAAACATACAACATCTTTTTCAAAAATTTTGAATTTTAATTTAAGATACAATGCATGACCGATTTCGAATCGTAATTAGCAATCTCGATTCCAATTCCAAGTTACAAGAATCTTGGAATTGAAAGCATTCTCATGAAAGATAATAAAAATTTTATTCATCTTCTTCTTACAAAGGGTTAAGTTAACCGTTCAGAAATGCATTTAAACAATATTTAATTGTTTCATCAACTTCCTGTCCTCCTAAAATATTATTTTCTGTCGTGATCTAAAAGATTCTTGTGATTTCTATTCAGTTCTAGTTTATTGCTGTATGCCAGTGCCACTGCAGTTGTTTCCGATGATGATGTATTCGTAATTTCGGACGGACAATTTTGATCATGCCTATCATCCATCGCAACATTGAATCAGCCCAATCTGACTCAGCCCATTGAGACTTCTGATCTATACTCCATCAGTTTATGATCAAGTGAAACGGGTCTCGATAATATTTTCCACAAACATTAAAATTTATTGATTCTCAAACGATAAATAGGCTAAACCAATTTACGTTTTACAAAACAATACAACAAATAGAGAGTATTTTTGATTCTTCTATACGAGCACGTAAACAACATAAAAATAAAATACTATGTGTGACTGTTAAAATATTTTTTCATTCATATTCTTTCATTTCTTAATTATTGTGTTCATCATGAAATTGCATTCCATATTGTCGATTAAAACCATTCTCTTCTGTTGTTATACCAGTAAATGGTGATGCCATCGATGTTGGAATATTCGATGTTGATAATTGTTTTTGATTTGTCATAAATTGTGAACCAGCCAATACTAATAGACCAACATAAAGAAATGCTGCTATCCAACAATTATATGCACGTTGACTATATGCATGTTTAATATCTGTTTCAAACGATTCTTTACTTCTTGATTTATTTTCAAACTCAAATTCATCTAGTAATGGTGCAGCTTCAAAATAGAAAAATATACCCATTAATATAAATTGTGCAATGCCCCATACTGATATAATAGAAAAACATAAAGATAATTTTGGTCCACAAATAGGCCACTTCATCATAGTGGGTTAGAGTTTCAATAGAAAAAAAAAACAAAATCAGATCTGAAAATGAAAACAACAGATTTTTATTAATCATTCGATAGTTGAGATTCGAAAGAAATTGTCTGACACACAAACCACACAGGTGACTGTTCAACCAAAATAATACAAAACAAAACAAGAAATCATGAACCGAATGAAAAAAAGAAAATTCTTTTTGGACGGAAGAAAAAGAAAAGACAGAAAGTAATATATATATAAGACAATCAACATTGAATAGCACGTAAACGTTGTTTAGCCGGTTCAAAGTCTGGTTTTAATTTTAATGTTGATTGATACCATTGTTCAGCAAAGTTTAAATGTCCTTTTCTTGCCATTGCATTACCTAATGTAAAATGTGTAAGAACAAGACCATTAGGATCAATTGATAATGATTCATATAATAAATAAATAGCTTCATTTATATGTAATTGACTGTTATAGAGCAATAATGCCATTGAAAGATAGGTTAAATCTTGTACATTTGATGGTGATAATAGATAAGATTGAAAAAGACAATTAAGTGCTTGAGATGCATTACCCATAAGACGCCAATAAAGTGATATTGTATGAAAATAAAGCCAAGATGTATTATAAACAGGTGAATTAAGACCGGCAGCAAGAAAAGATCCAATTAATACTTTATCATCAACTAAAACAAAATAAAGAAATCGTTTTTATATTAAATGAATAATTGAGAAATAAAATAAAGTTTTTTATTTCTACACATTAGAGATGAACATGAAAAAAAAACAAACTTCCAGCAATGTATTCAAGTTTAAAATGATTTCGAAACAAAAAGTATTTATTCCGATTCTAAGCACACTTCATTATCTAATAACATGGTATACAAAGAAAAATATTGGTTGAATCCTACTTGACATAATAAAATCGAATAATTAATTACTTGAAAAAACAAAAAGAAAATACGTAGCCTTTCAGTATGAGATGCTGCCTAACGACAAATTCAATAGTTCGGTATTCCCTCTATAGCTCATAATAGCTGTAATTGCAGACAGAAAGCCTGTCTGATAGAGTTCTTGCGCTCCTAATGCACACTAACGAACTACAAGAGCAAAGTGTATGTCGTAACGCATTCATCATGGTCACGGATGGATGATTTGCGAGAAATAGGCGATAATGACTTAGCTTGAAGAGAGAAAAAAAACCATGTCAACATTAGTCTTTCTGAAAAATTCATTATGAAACTTTTTACAGTATCAAAATATCGATAGTTCAACATTACTGAATAGCATAGTTTAATCTTCAAACTAATAAGTTAAAAATATCCTTCCAATAAGAAATTCGAATCGCAAAAATTTCTTAAACCATACAATAAAATGTTGAGTGAATACGTTATAAAGATTTCATTAGAGAACATATCAAGTAGCTAAAGGCAACATTCAAATTACAATCGATCAAATCAATATTTCTTTACAATGTGCGCTATACCAGCCCTATTTGCACGTAGTAATAAAAGGTCACCGATATACTTGTAATTAATTAGGCGTAGTTTGATACTAAAATAGACGGTTATCTGCTAACCTATATTTCAGTGGCGTAATCAGAAAATCGTAGGTGGTAGGGCAACGTCCTACGGTCTTAGAGATAAGCTATGTAAAATAGTGTCAACAATGGTAATTTGTACATTTTTCTTTTTCCTTATGGTAGGACTGCGCTTGTTTATGCTACTACTACATTCTATTGTGGTATTCCGATAAATATTCTCTAACCGACAATCTACTGTCAGTTCTTATGAGTATCGCGGTTATGCGACATAAAACAACAACAACAATGTAAATAATGATTATTAATTATTTTAAAATTTATGATAATTATTTTGAGTAAAAAAGAAATACATTTGATGAATTGTTCGATTCTATTAAAATTTTACCTCCTTTATTCATTGTTGTTGGATTTTTTTCAAAAAGTAAATTTAATAAAATTGGTCTTAATATTGTTTCAGATCGATATAAAGTTAAATTTTCATTAGCTTTTTTAATAATATAATCAAGTATTTGAATATTTTTCGTTGTATTTACTTGTTCAATTAATGGATATAAACATAAAGGTTGATTTAATTCAATATTATCTTTTTTTATCTGTTTAAAAAATGTATAATTTAAATAAATATTTTTTGTTTGTGGTGATATCCATGTTGATAAATAAGGTGTATATGTTATTGTTGATTTATTTACACAATCATTTTTATCAATATTAATATAATTATTTAATAAATATTTTTCTTGTATTTCTTTTGATAAAATATAATAATCTGAAAAATATTTTTCATAAATATTCTTATGATTATTATAATTTAATAATTGTGTATGATTATTTAATTCATATTCATAATTCATTATTTCAATAAGTTCTTTTAAATGTTCATATAATGTTGATGGATCACGCCACCATGTCATATTATGTTTTGGATTAAATTCATTTGGATCAATTATATTTAAATCATAACATTTAGAAGATTTTCTACCTGTACCATAAATAATACATTTTAATTTACTTTCTTTTAAAAACATATCACTATAATTATTTGTAAATATATATGTATAATCAAATGTTTGTTTTAATTTATCATATATTATAATTATATGTCCTATATCAGTACCATAATTTGTAACAGCATAACCTTGTGAACATTCATCATTGATATGATGATTATTATTATTATTAACTAATGATGATGATGATGATGATGTTGATGATGATGAACATAAACCATATGAACGATAAGCACGTCGTGCATCATTTAATAATTCTTCACGTTTAATAGGTGATGTTAAACATGAACGATTAAGCCAACGATTAATTGATGAACGATTATCGACTGTTGGTTGACGACCTACAATTTAATATAAAAAAAAAAAATAAAACTTTAATATTCATAATGAAAACAAGAAAAAAATAAGAAAACAAAAAAAATATATATGTATATGTTAAGTGCAATAGATAAAAGTGAAAAAAAAATTTTCCAGCATACATTGAGTTGTTTGATAATGATAAGACAGAAATGCAGCACTGTTAGCTATATATATAGTATTATCATGTAGTTTATAATTTTGATTAGACAACATCAAATTATGTTTCATACTTTCACTTGGTATTGATTTTTTCTGATAAATATTTTTATCATTTGAACAACTCATCATTTCCCATGCTGTATACATTGTATAACAATAACTAAGACGTAATTGTCGTCGAGCATATATATGTGTTGGATCAATTGTTAATGTACGTCGATAATATTCTTGTGCTGCTGTATGATTATTTTTTGTTAATGCTAATAAATTTCCTAAGAAATAATTTGTTATTGGTTCATGGGAATTTATTGTATAAGCTTGTTCAGTTAAATCAAGTGCATCTTCATATTTTCCCCTATATAGATAGATATATATTTCAAAGACATTTTTATAGTCAAAAACAAAAAATTAAATCCTAAAAGTAAATGATAACATAAAATTTAACATACGAAAATCATTTGGACAAAACTATGTCGCACAAAAATGAGACTTGTTTTTAAATATAGCTAATAATTCTTAATAAAAAAAAAAAACTTACTTCAAATCGAATTCACTTTTCATGATAGAGATATGCAGAGTAACTTTGCGCATCTTTCTCTCTATTTCGAGAAAATCTGTTTATATAAAGATAAGTGCTCTAAATATTCTTTTAATTACAATTATGAGTACTTTATAGATCAGACAGGTGAATGTATTTTATATATGCATTCATTTCTTCTTATATCGATACAATATCAAACGTTTTCAATTTATCGATATATTGTACAAATTAAAAAAGACATCGAATTTCATTTGATTGAATATAAAATCAATTAAAATTTTATAGAATTTGACCCTATCTAAGAAGTTTTAAAGCAATAGCAATCCTTTGCTTCCATTTCTTGATCACTTGAGTGATCTTATCTTATATTGCTTAATCTTGGGAAAAAATGAATTACAAAAAAATCAAATCCGTAATTTTTCAGTACCTACAACTTGAGCATAAAACTTTGTTCATATCATATGAAATGGTAGAACAAAACATTCTCTACAAAATTAGACGTCTACTGTTGCACTGCATAAGATTTTCGAAAGACTTTAGATAGAATTTTTATCAATGAGCTCTTCGCCCATGATCACTAAAGTGACCAAATGAGAATATCTCTAATCAATTTATTCATACTATCAATATATTTGAAAATTTATATTCAATCTTACGTATAATATATTTTACTTACCAAAGATATAAAATATTTGCAAGATTAATAAGTGTTAAATCACTCCATTGTTTATATACTTTATTTCGAATAATAATTTCATGTGCTTTTAATCCACAATCAATAGCATGTGGTAAATGTCCATTAACACGCCAATAAAGTGATGATAATAAGTGAACAATCCATTCTGGTAATAAATTTTCATGTTTTTCTCCAACAGATCTTAAACGTTGACCAAATTCTTCAATTGGTATTTGTTCATCAATTGTTGAATCAATATAAAAATATAAATTTAATAACATATTTGTATCATAACGATTTATTGGTGCTTTCATACGTGATAAACGTCTTAATACAGGATGATTTTCAATAATTGATAAATGTTCATTTATTGGTTTATATAATGTACATAATGGTGGAGACCATGGAAGTGGATAATGTTTTTTTTGATGACTAAGACCTTGATAAAATGCTTGTTTTATATTTAATAAACCTTTATTTTCTAATGGTAACCATATGGTTGGATAATCACCAATAGATGGTAAACCATAATAATGTATTTGACAATCTTTATATGTTGGTAATTGTTGTTCATTTAATTTAATCACAATATTTTGTTTAAGTGGAGGATAAAGTTCACTTAATTGTTTTAAAATAAATTTTTTATTTCTTTCTACAATAACATCTGTTGGTAAACGTGATGTTAATGTTGGCCATACTGTTGTTGATGTTGATGTTATTTGATCAGTTATATCAATAGAATCAATACGATTATTATCATCTTCTAATATATATGATGATTGAGTTTGTTCAATAGCATTAAGACGTACTTTAAAATGAAAAATAAAAACACAAATCAAAAATAGTAGAATTATTTCCTTACAAAAGAAATCTCGGATATGATAAATCACTTTTAGATTGAAACTACATGAATTATGTAAAATCAAATGAACTATGAATATCCCCTGAAACAGATTCGGGTTCTTAGTTTATTGCTATAGAGAGACTTCAGTGACAATTCTTAACAAGAATAGTTTCTTGTGAATGTTTTAAATTTTGTCGTTGTTTCTTTCTTAAGAGCAAGCGACAATAAAAGCCTGCCTTTAAAATTGCTCATATATAACAATAGATTTAATGTTCTTATTTCATGATAGATGCAAATCAAAAAAAATCTGAAGATTTTAACAACAAACTATTTTCATGAATTTCTACTTCTTTACAAAGTTTCAAGTAAAAATGAGAAAACTAGTTTTTCTAATGTTACCGAAGAAAACTACAACATTCATTTAAAATTACCGTAAATTTTCAGTATCTATGTAAGAATAAACTAAAGACTTTCATTCTTAGAATTACAATATATGCATTGAAACAATATTAATTAATAATATCTTTGTTCTAATTCATTATAGAATATTTATTTAAAGTTTTAAGATAGTAAATTGACAATGTATGAAAAATTGAATGACAACAAATGGGTACATTATATATTTTTGATATTTATATAGTATGAATTTGTTTTTTCGATAAACATTTACTTAAAACTACCTGTATGTTATTTGATCTCAATGCTCTTTTTCTTTTCTTTTTTATAAGAGTCATCTCAAATAATGACATAAGAGAGAAGAATGAAAAACAGTTACCTGAAACTTTTAATTATCTACGTTACTATGATCAATATTTTTCTTTGATTTCATGTATTAGAATTATATAAATGTAATTCTATCTTTCACAATAACGTAAAGTTACTTTCATATTTCTATTAACAATGACATTTAAGAAATGTTTGTGTTTATTCAATTAATAATTAGAAAAAAAAAAGCGTTTGTATTTTTATATAACTTACTTGACATAAGATTTTGTTTTTTATTCAATATTGGTCTATCTTTAATTTTAATATCTTCATCAATAATAATTATATTATCTCGTGGTCGACAATCAAAATTATTAGTAATAGTATTATTATTTATTATTGTTGTTATAAATGAATTATTATCATCAATAGAACAATAATCATCTTGTTTCATTATTGTTGAATATTTTTTTCTATATGAAACTAAATTATTATTAGATAATTGTTTATTAGTTGATTTTTGTTTTCTTGTTTTTTTCCAATTACAAATTATTTGTTTTTGTTCATCTTTTAACTGACGTAAATAATCAATAAATGATTGACCAGTTGACATATCACGTTTAATAAGAGCATTTAAATCTATTAGTTCATCTGTTATTGATCGTAATTGATTTAATTGAGCTAATTTAGTTTGTAATATTTGATGTCTACGTTGTAATGATAATTCTAATGTTAAATGACAACCAAGTGCATCGATTTTTTGTTGAGATATTGATAATAATGATGATATTGATAATGAATCAAGAGAAGATGACGAAAGACTAGAAATTTAAATTAAAAATCATGTAAGTTTTTTTCGAATTTTATTCATTCATAACAGAGAATATAAGATACTAAATAATAAAGTCCTTGTGAACTTGTAAAAATGACTCTGATGTGTCTGATTTTTACGTTTTTTTCAAAATAAAACTCTGATTTATCTCTATTTAAACACTTCATCTACATTTTATCATTTTACATATAACATAGTGCATCATCTAATGAACTGTCATAATCGAAACTATTCATCGCATAAGTAACCATTGGATAATATACAAAAAAGTATAAATATTTTGATTAAAATATTTGAATTATTGTTTTTAACGAAAACTACCAACACTTTATTAAACTATTTGATTAATCACCTTAAATAATGATCTTAACTTGAGATATTCTTTGTTACTAGAAAATTTCTCAAATGTATCGAAATTATACTTTTTTAAATCACATGAAACATTGGACTTATTAACTCGTAACTCTTATAGTTTTATTAGAACTAACTTAGAGAAGTTGACTTTTTTTTCTTTGTTCTCTTTACTTACATTTCTAATTGTTGTTCATCATTAATTTTTATAATTCTTTCTAATAAAATTTTTGTTCGATTATAAAATTGTATAGCTAATAAAAATCTATTATCAATAGTACATAGATTTCCTAAATAATAATGTAATATGGAACGAATAAATAATGATATAACATTTGGTATTTTTAATGTCAAATGATAATCTAATGCTCGTTCAATAAATATAATTGCATCACGTATATAACCATAACGAAAAACAATATTAGCTAATTCAATTAATATAATATCATCATGATTTGAACCATATATAAGTGCACAACGTAAACAATCAATAGCATTATGATATGAAAAATTTGAATTATAATATCGACTTAAATAAACATATGCTAACCATGATGTTTGATTATGATATAATTCATTGGTTGACCATAGAGCTTGTTGATCATAATTTATTATTGTTATATTATTTATTTCTTCATCATCAATACGTATAGCTTGTTGTTCATCATAACGTGTTGAAATACTTGGTAAATGATCAAATGTTAAAAGACCTTTAAAATAAAACAAGAAAAATATTAAAATAATAAAAATAAAAATATCATTACTTGTATCGATATGACAAAAATGATTACATGTTAAAATCTTTGTTTTTGATTTATCATTTATTGTATAATTATTTGAAATATTTTTTAATTCAAATGGTATATGAAATGTATCATAAAGATTTGTTTTAAGAATTTTAAATATTGATGATTCACCATTATTTATAAAATGATTACATTTATCTATATTTTCATTATTATCTTGTTTATCATTATTAATTTGATTTGATTGTTGTTGTTGTGGTGAAGATAAATCAACAACATCATCAACTGAATCAATATATGTTTGTAAATAATCAATACGTGCTAAACGTTCTGATTGACCAATAAATGCAACAAGATCATATGGACGTGCTAATGTTGAAACTGTTTTTAATGTATTATCAATGAGTATATTATCTTGATTAACATAAAAATGAGTACCTAATAAATATTGTTCAGATGTATATCCAACAATAAATAATGTGAGAATATATATTAAATAATAAAACATGCTTATTATTATTGAGACTATATGAATACATTCAAATTATTTTTATAAATACATCAAATGTATTGGTAAATGACGAAAAACAAGAAAAAAAAATCGAACTTTTTGTTGTTCCTTTTATTCTTTTGGCACGTAGTGTATATAGGTGATTCATGCGAAACGGATAAGTTTACCAATCAGAATTAATAGACAAAGCGCCATCTGAAATTTTCTAAATGGAATTATGGATTTAGATATTATTTTTAGAACAAGAAAATTTAAATTATTAGAGAGTTATAGCTGTCTTGTTATGAATATTATAAAGAAATTAAGTAACGGAGGCAAGTTTTCTTTTTCTTTTTTTTTGTTATCGTGTGTATAGAAGAAATTTTCTGAGATTGTGAAAAAATGAATAAAATGAAGCTGTTAAAATGCGACTGAAAAAGGGACAAAAATAGAAAGTAATAAAAGAGTGCATATGATTGTGTTTAATCGACTCCTTTTGTGTTTTGTTCGTTCTTTTAATGACTTCATAAATCAATATATTCTTTCTTCGATTTCTTTTCAAATACTAATTTATGTATAGATTTCTGCATAGGAGCCTTGTCTAAAGAAATGTCTATCAATGATTAGCTTGTCAGCTGTGATCATTATCTTTTTCAGTGTAAAGGGTCGATATTTTATTACTAATTTCCTTTGTGATCGCGATAGGTTTTTTTTATGACAGCTATAAAAGTAAACTAAAAAATGAGTACAACAATAACAGTTTGAATGTTGTATAGATAAAAAGAAATGAAAGATACTGTCAAGAAATACCTGTTTTTCTAGGCAATCATATATTCATCGAGGGACGATCAATAAATAGTTTTATACAAAAACAAAAAAAAAACACAAATAAATCACATTGTTCATTTTATCATTTTAAAATAATTAATAGTCTCAATAGAAATCAAAAGAAAGAAGTCATGATCGTTTGATGGTTGCTATCTTGATTGTTCAGGCAGCCGATAGATAGTTCAATTTTTAAAATATCACTCTAATAGATTCTTTCTTATGTTACAAGAGAAAGAGATTTTGAAAACTGCAAACGAGCAACTCAATGGTATTCATTGTAAACAAAAATTTTCTATTAACAATGTGAAAGAAAAACTGATAGGAAAAATGCTCATACGTTTGTTTATCAGTAAGAGCGTTTGAAAGAATATCTTGTTATTTCTTTTATTTTGTAAGACACGATCTAGAACAAGTGTCGAAATACAAGAGTTAAAAACTGAGGTGATGTTTCTTTCCCTAGAGAACATAAAAAACATTATAATATACACACTATAATGATTTCCGTTTCATTTCTTGAATTTCATAATAAATGAGCTATTGCGTTATTGCATTAATCCAGGATTTAATAAAACACACTATTTTATATAGTTACTATAAAACACTTGTCAAAAAAAGAAAAGAAAATTTATATAAGATTTAATTTGTTGATTATCAAGTTCACTCTCATAATTGATATTGTTTTACATAAAAATATAAAAAATACAGTGATAGTGTATATCTCTCATCAATTGAGAATGTTACATTCAAGTGTAATTGAAATATGTACATGATGAATTTTGAGAATCAAACTTAAATTCAAAAAAATACAGCATTATTTAGATATGCATATAATTCATTTTGTAAATCGATTAAATATTTTACGAATTAGAGATGCTGATTTGAACATGATATTTAGAAACAAAGATTGAAGCAAAGTTTATCTAGAAACGTAATGAAATTACAAGAAAAACGGAAATTTTTATATTTATGTGTTGATCAGTATAATACAGTATGATTTTTTTCTCATCAGAATAAGATACATCACTGTTGTTCTCGACGACATATAAAAAAAAAGATGTAGAGTATGAAAAAAATGAAAATAGTTCTTTAGTGTTCTCTGATCAAATTATAAGAAAAATCAACAATGTGTAGATGAATAATGTATTTTCGAAATGTGTTATGTTTATTTATACAAAAAAAATGAAGGTCTCCAATCATTTTCTAATAACTTCCCACATGACGTAAATGTCATCTTCCGTCATATATAATATTTGAAGACTTATTATTAGAAGAGAAATGAGAGAGATGAAAACTCAAAGATGTATTAGAAAATAAGCAAGATTAATTAATATTTGTTTTTTTTTTGCAATATGAAAATACGAACCAAGAAAAGAATGAATAATTAGGATAAAGCCAAGCAACTACATTAAATTAAAGATTGAAAAATTCAAGGACGAAAAAATAAAACATTTCTAATCTAATAAAGCCACTAGAAAGACAATAAGATGATTGCAAAGGGATACATAAGAAAAAATCCATAAAAAAAAAAAAAAACCTTAATATAGAACTCAATTTAATCAGCTATTTCATAATTTAGAACCCATCTCACCGGTTTGTATCTCGAATAATTCTCGATTCAACTGTTTATTGATCCATGCAACTGTTTTTGCCAAAGAAGTCAACAAATGAAATAACAACAACTTAGTTCGAGACAAAAATAAACGAGTATTTTAATCAGCAAACACATCATTTTAAGGATGTTTATTTAAAAGAAAAATAAATTTAATATCAGCTTAGAAGAATTGTTTGCAAAAAACCACTCTTTGGCTTGTTAGCAACAGTTATTGTGACCAATACGATGGTAGCACTTTTTCTGACTTATAGACTACTGACTTGTGCTACAGAAGGTGAGGAATTTTTTTGAAAATTTCTGATTGACTGCAGTACTTGAAGAACAACATTTATTTTATCAACTCATTTTTGATAGGTTTATTACAATACAATCCGATAGACATAACTATAGCTAATAGTTATCGAACACTTGATAACACATTTCATCAAGTTGACTATCCTTTCGATGTGTATGTCAATTCAAACAATACGATCTATGTAGCTAACGCTTTTAATTAGTGTATTAAGTAACGACTAGCAATTGCATTACAGTGACTAGTGTGACAGAAAAATGTAGATCCAATAGTCGTTGAAGTTGTTCCCTAAAGACATTGTATAGTGAATCGCAGAAAAATTCTTGTACTGTTGATTGTAACGGCATTCACTGATGACTCTTAGGTTTATCGGTTGGCATTCTAGTTCATACCTATACTGTCTTCGTTGACAACAATAGAAGTTTGTATGCCAACGTGTGTGGAAATCATTCTGTAATATTGTGAACACCAATAAATACAGCTAATACTATCATAGCAGTTAAAAATTACTAAAATTAGTCATCTTCATTCTAGTAGTCTTACTATTGATTCATCGAATACTACACTTTACGTGACTATTTATAATCTATCCAATATAACTTCTGTGATTAATATTGACATTTATTTCAATCAACCATAAAGTATCGTATTTAATTCTGATTCGAATGTGTATTCAACTGATTACAATAACCAAAAATTTGAAAAATTGAATCATATTTTCTAATTTTCATTGACATGAAGACTTTAACTCTTATCCTACTAAAAAGTATTCTGTAGGTTTAGTTAGCTATACCTATTAGACTGCTTTAGTTTAATGTTGATTAACTATTTTTGTTGTAGAATGAGAAAAAAAAATTCTACAAGTTTGATATATAGATCGAAAAATATAAAAGTGAGATTAATATTGACATATTAATAATTATTGTTTTTCAATAGTATTATTTTGTAATATTGATTCTTTATTCTTATTTTCTTCTTTTTAATCTTTACTGACATAGATTACTTCTTCATCCATACTCAAATAAAAAGTATGAATAACTTGTTCTTTTGTGACTTTTTTCTTGTTTCAGATTAGGTAATTTCTCGTGATGTTTGCTTCAAAATCCAAAGAAAAAACATAAATCCTATGTTTAAGATAAAAAAAAGTCATTTATTACCAAGTACAAAGTAGAAAATCTCACTTCATCAGATTAATTAATACTAAGAAGATAGTTATCTAAGTTTTAACTATAAATTATAGGAATTATGCTATGAAAAAGTACAATTTTGCAAGAGAACTTTCAAAAATTAGATTCATGTTTTTAAGTCAAACGCATAACATATACTTTATCATGTAATAAAAGGAGGCATTCTTAGACTAGTAAAACGTTTTGAAGATTAACTGTACGCATATACACAATGTGATTAGATATTTTATTATAAAATAAAATTGTGCATCGAGATAGTTTCTTGTATAAATTTTATATGATACAACTAACTAGAACTTTTGCATTTAAAAAACTGGCTATCAAATGTTTCATATAATGACATTATTCTAAATGATATAAGTCTGGTCTATTTCAATAACAATGGAGTGGATTTCTTTCAAAATTATCTATGGTGGCTCTGATTACAATAGTTCTTCTGGAAACACGATGATATAGGATATCATACACTTCTCCCATCAATCTAGTTCATATTACTCTATTGAGCAACAGAAATGAAAATCTATCAAATAAGGCCTTGACTACTATACCAAATACTATTGATCATGGCCATGGTCAAAATGATAAATACTGATCAATAAACATTAGATTGATTGGTACATACGACCGTTTCAGTTGTTCGTTACTATTGTTACAATCAAATATCAGACTCGTTTTAGTTGTATTTTTGTTCATTAAAACCTATTAAATGAGAGTATCATTCTTATTGCATAATGGAAGTTATCCGAATCAGTCTCTATTACACTTTATTTCAAATCAAATATCTATTTGACTGAATAGAAAAGAATTAAATGTAGAGTTGGTTTTCATGCTCTATTTAGTTCTATCTATTTCATTTATTTATTTTTTTGTTTTTTTTTTAAATTTCTATACAATTATAATATTTCTAAAGTGAGTACAAAAGTTATAATATAAGAAAAATCTAAGTGAACCACCAATGCAATAAATATAATTTAATTAATTCTAAATAAAAGACGTTTTTCTTTAATTGCTTTTAACTTATGGTGTACGAGGTATGGGTGTTTGTGTAGTAGCTCCTGAATAACTTTGACTTCTTATTTTCTTTCTATGTCGTTGCTGTTCAATTACAACATCACCGTTAGCTTTTTGAATAATCGTTCGTTGAATAATTGGTCGTTCAGGTGTTGGCAATCGGCGTCGTACTTGTCGATAGATGGGCTCTGGTTTTGGTAATAAAATTACTTGTCGACGAATACGAGGTTCACGTCGAGGACGTAATTGTTGGATATTGGAATCAACATATTCAGGTGTTTTTGTCGGCGTCGGTGTCCGAATCTTCGGTTGTTGTTTCTGCGGTTTTGGTTTATAATAGTTGTTACGAATAAATTGAGCAGCATAAACCGATGTTAGTGGTGAATTGAAGTATGATTGTTGATGGTATACATTTGGTGGATAGGAGCTAACGACTGCTGCCATTGTTAATCACCTGTATATGTATGCTAGACACAAGACGACGCACGACTGTTTGAGGTTTAGTGTAGGTTATATTTCTTGTTTCATTAGCCACAAGGTTGAAAAGAAAAAAACTGAGAGAAGTGCAAAGGGCAAAAACAGATTACAACAAGAAAAGTGAGAATGAATGATCAATTGATTGATCAATATAAGGCTGATGTGTATAGTGACGACAGACGTTATATGCTCGTTTTATATAAAAAAAACGCAAAAAAAAGAGACGAGAAAAAAGAGAACGATTTAGTATATGCCTGATGTTCCTTTCTTTTCTCTCTCTCTCTCTCTCTCTCTCTCTCTCTTTCTCTCTCTGTTCATTCTTACCGCTATATACTATGGTTATATGTATTACAAATGGAATATATATATATATGCATGATTAGTCCTTGCCCTTCATCGAGAAGAAATCAGCAGACATTTATTTTAAATGGTATGACACATGCAAAACAAAACGTGCTTCTATAGATAATTAGAAAAAAAACTGTAGCAATTTCTAACGAATAGCACCCATTATAAAAAGTACAGCAATGACGAAAAGTATAGCAACCCATATTACAATACCTATGATATTTGATATCATGAGCATATTGTTAACGCGACACGATAATGATTGAGCTCGAGTTAATTCTCCACTCTTTTTCATGTCTCGTATGCGACGACTATGATAAAGACAAATAAAAGGTGCAATAAGAAAAAAACAAACAATTGAAGAACCAAGTGCCCATAATCGATGTTCTTTTATATCATTAGCTCGTAATGATTGTACATTGGCTGATGATGGTTGATGTCGTTTCTGATCGTCAGATTGATTATTTCGTTTTTGATTACTTGGTTTAAAACGTTTATTAAATTTCTCCTTCTCATTTAATTCAGTAGGGCTTCTTGTTTCTTCTGGTTCAATGACAATTGTACTAATGGCCGTTGCCGATGTCATTTTTTTCTGAATGAGTAGTTAGACCGATATTTGTTTTCAGTATACCTTTATTATAAATGCATCTCAAAACGCACGTGTGCGTGTAATATACAAGAGAAATAAACATATTTCGCGCCATTTTTAATACCTTTTCTATATGATGACACAAGCATGTATATGTGTAATGACGGTCACCGTTCGATGAGCACGCACAAAAAAGAAATACTTATCTTTTACATTATATGTATCTAAGGTCGTTGAATAGTAATGCATGAATCGATGGACGAAATTAATAATTTTTCATTGACTTTTTTATTTGAATATTTTGTTTTCAATTATTTACGATGACTTTCTAAACGACGAGAAAAACGACAAATAAAATTGAGAGTAATAAATCCTTCATTGCTTCATAATTATTTTCTGAATTAGAATAATTTTTTTTATCTTTTATCTAATTCGTTTGAGAATTTGTCAAGCTCATGTAATCATTACATAATCAGAGAACACTATTAAGACGTTGATTATAATTATGTTTATAAAATTAGTTATCAGCACTTTTTTCATAAAGAAAAAAAATGAAAGATTAATCGAAAACACTCAAATGCGTTTTATATATCAAGTATAGAATGTTATTTTACATCTGACTTAACTGTTATATCATAAGCTACGTTGATTTTTTTCTCTTGTCGCTTGTCCTTTCAATTTCACATGTTATTTCATGTTTACCACAAAAGTCAAGCATTTCTTGTGTTTCTTTCATACTACCTATTAGACTACCAGTGATGATTGGTCGTTTAAATAAAAGAACAA